GTTGGGGCACATCAGGAACGGCAAATGTAGCTGGTTGAGCAATGTGTAGTGGGTCACTTGATCTCGGATTCGCATTGTTTCTCTGAACGCTTCGTCCGAGTTCAGGTCAATGCCAGTGAAGTCCGGCGGTCTCCAGAAGTCGGCAGGCAAGCTTTCGGCCGTCGTCCGCAGTTCCTTATCGATGTCCATAGTCATGTCCCGAACATGTTTCGACACTCCGAGTTGATTTCGTTCGAGGATTCGTCCAGTGATCCTAGCATGACAACGCTCCAGCCGATTGGTTGATGTGACGGGCGTCAATGCCAGGTCCAAATCAAGCCTGACATCGGGTTGACCTGAAGGGAGGCCAAGAATCAAAGAGAGGAAGCGGTCCATGTAGACAATCTGAGACCACATGTATTGTGGGTCAATATTTGTGTCGGTGCTGAGTGGTTTCACCGTAGGGCATCGTGGGCGATGGATGCCAGTCAGCTGGGCGGCGACCAAGGCTCTCCTGTGTGCGAGCCATCCTCGTCGGATATTTCCGCAATTCAAGTGGTAGAGTCCCTCGAGCAAGATACATTCGAGGCTTTCCATGCTCCCTAATAGTTCTTCATTCGTTGTTACCAGGCTGATGGCTGTATCTGCAAGTCTTTCCATGATGACGCGGTGATGCTCAGATAGACCGCTGATATGCTGCTGTGGTGGAAAGTGTGCAATCATGGAGGAAAGCATGAGCATGTATTTGGCAACGAGCACTGGGTGAGTGCCAGAGCCAACAGTCTCTGCCAGTTTTGCTATGAACTCGGACTTCTCACATGATCTCTCAGTGTGCGGTATGTCGTTAACTCGGTGACAAAATTGCGAGATTCCGGTGCATCTTTGGAGTAAGATATCGATGTCTTGCTGGATCGGAAAGGCTGCGACCAGTGCGGGCGATATCTGTTCAAATTTGTTTGTATCCAAGGGTACAACTTTGTTTACTGGAGCTGCTTCAGTACGAGACGTACGCGATGACGACTCTATTGCTCCGCGAGGATTGCTTCCCTAGGAAATAATTAGTGGCTGTTGGTACAGCAAGCTGGTTTCCAGAAAAAGTGGCGCTATCAGACAGCGAGCACATCCTGAAATTCCGGAGGAGATGAATAGCGGCGACCTAGGCTTCAATCTGGTCTCTCTATGCTGTTGGACTCGACGGCCTCCTGAACGTAAGCGCTGTTTACCCGCCCTAGAACATGACGGACGTCGTAGAGATATTGAGCAGGTGCGTCCATTTGAGCCCGACAGGCTCCTATGGCAGACAATGCCACTTTTCCTGGAAACAAGCAAGAATCTGGAATAGTCGCAGTCAGACTCACCGATGAAGCCCCATGCAAAGACATGAATGGAGTTGCTTCCGAACCACTGCAGGGCGTGGAGGCAACAGCATCGTACCTGGCATCGGAGACTGTCCGAGAAGCATCACTTGCTGCGCTGTTTTGGTTGATCAGCTGGTGGAGTAGTGCTTCGACGCACTGTATGCGATCCGCGTTGTCAAGGTGCTGTTCGTCAGGTAACTCCTGTGAGACGCACTTTGTGCCACGCCGGCGACAGGTGATACAAATAGCATCAGTCGGCGCCGCAAAATTGCATCGTACCTTTCTCCGTTTACACTCCCAGCAGCTGTGAGTGCCCTTGCGAAGTCTTCTCTTCTTGGCACCAGGCTCGGATTCCTCGTAACCGCCGGTACTCATTCTCACCCTAATAGTCTTCTGAGTGTGGCCAGAGGATTATCCGACGCGTTGTGTCAAAGACTCCGAAGAGAGAATGAGTAAATAAGTCCATTTGAGCATGACCGACTTCCAAGTTCAGACGTGCCACTTTTCTGGCAATAGGCTTGCTGGCTAGCGATCATCAGACTCATCAATCAGTCTTCTTCCGTGAACTCGGCCGAGGTGGAGAAAGGAAAAGCAAAATCCAGGGGACTGAGCGGACCCGAAATACGAGTCAAAGCTCTCAAGTGTAATTGAAAGCACAGTTCTCGGAGGAAATAAGTCACGCCACATATTTTTATTACCTTACCTCCGAGTTCGATAGTAAGTTCGGTCTCTGCTCCGAATAGCTTATCGCACATCGCTTTGGTGCTGGCAGCTTGAGCGGACTGCGAAGACGTTGCTTGAGCCTCCAACCTTGGGTTCAATGGAAGTGACGGCCAAAATACTGTAAGGAGCCAGGAACGCCGCTCTAGGCAACCAAGCCTAAGCGCCTGCCACTTTAACGAGAAATTAGTCATCCTCAACTCACGATTCAGATGCCAGAATTATCTTTTTGTCCAGCACTCATCTTGTGGATTGAATCCCTGCAATCAAATGCTGAGTGAGAGGTGATTCATGTACATCTACCAAACTTCGAATTTTCGTTCCACCCGACGTAGCATGATCCCCTATATCTACTTCTCTCGAGGCTCACAAGGACACCACTCCCCCTTCCGGATCCTCCCAATCCTCACTAAATACAATCGTCTCGAACACCGTCCCAATCGTCCCCAAGGTATCGAAGAAGACAAATCGACATGTCCCCTTAGTCCCCATCCAAACGCCCTGCATCACAAGCTCGAAACCCCGTGCCTTCATGAGAGATATCCTCTCCTCCATTGGCACCCGCACATCGCCCATATCCCACGCGATGTGCTGCACGCCCGCCTTACCTCCATTCTCGTCCAGGTAGGCTTGCATCAGGGAAGGTTTGGTCCCCGACCCGCCCGGTAAGGGCTGCATGATCTCTACGACTAGCGAACCCTGCTTGGCGAACGCAACCTTGAGCCGGAACAGATCTGTCCCTCGTTCACCATAGAGTTCTTGCTCGCGCACCGTCGACGCGTTAAAGTCGAAGATCTGAAAGGGTCCGATGCCGGTCTTGCTTAACCCGTCGATGGTCGTGTATATGTTGGGTGTGACGAAGCATATCTCTGTGATGTTGCCTAGAATTGGTGATGGGCTTGGATTTGCGGTTGACATTTTTGCGGGCGACTAGGACATAAATTATGTAGTGTGCAAAGGTGCTGCCGGCTAGTAAAGTCGTGGTGAACTTACGGCTTGTAGCCTTCTTATTTTCTTCGCTTGTCTGAGTACAATGCGGTGAGCAGCATGATGACGCCCTCGATGACGCCCTTCGTGGCGCATGGTGACGCCCCTGGTGATGACGCTGACCTCGATGACGACCCAAGGGCGTCACGTCGCATGAAATTCGTATGGCGCGAACTTAGGATGCCTGACTTCTACACCAAAAGTTGAACAGAAAATACATGATCCACGCAGATCATATCAGATCTTGGTCAATGCGGACCAATCTTTTCCGCGAGACGAAACCGTCTCCATGCCACCCATATACCTTCTCAGAACTTCAGGTATAACCACGCAACCCTCCTTCTCCCGCCATCCGTTCTCCAAGATGGCAGCCAGGACTCTTGGAACAGCCATGGCCGTACCGTTCACGGTGTGAGGGAATTTCTTCCTCGTTGCATTGGCCTCCAGAATCCTCGTGTCCAGTCTTCGACTCTGGTAGTCTGTGCAGATTGAGACGGAGGTGACCTCGCCCCAGCCGCTGTCCTTTGCCTTGCGCGAAGGGAACATGGCTTCAATATCGATCTTGCGGTATGCACTGGCACCGAGATCGGAAGATGGCATCTCAAGGACCCGACACGGGAGGCCAAGTGATTTTAGTATCTCGGTCTGAATGCCGACCATCTCATCAAATACCTCTGTGGCATACTTCGTCCACACCTCCTCTTCTGGTATACCATCCCGGGCAGGAGGAGAATTTGTCCACGCAAACATCTCGACTTTGGTAAATTCGTGCACTCGGTACAGACCTTTCGTGTCGACCCCTCGAGCACCAGCTTCGGCGCGATAACATCGACTCGGACCCACCAATTTGACGGGGAGGTCTTCCTCGCGAATAGCCTTCCCTGCGTACATGCCAGCCAAAGGAATCTCGGCGGTCGCGGCCAAACTTCTAGGCGGTTTTACAACGTCCTTCCCAACCTGGGCGACCTGCCAGATTTGTTGTTCGTCATTCTGGTCTCGCGGCTGGAACCCACACGCGTCGGCCATGTGCGAATAGACGAGAGATGGTGGAGTTGCAACGGACCAACCGTGTTTCAGGGCAACTGACAAAGCATATTGGACCAGCGCTTGCTCTAGGAGCGCTGCTTCGTTGAGCAGGTAATAGAACCCCCATCCGGTAGCTGTTGAGGCAGATGCGAAGTCAATCAATTTGAGCTTTTCGCCAATAAGTGCATGATCGGCGGAGCTGTCGTAAGAGGGAGGATTCTCTGGGTTGTAGTTGATATAGGAGTGTAACCTGGGTTCGTCGTTTGTTGCAGTTTTCGAAGATGTTAAATTGGGCAAGGACAGCCCCATTGCTCGAGCATGCGCGTCCAATACTCCATGTTCAAACTGCAATTCGTCAATCCCCAGCTTGAGCGTCTTCATTTGAGGAATGATGTCGTCTCGGTTACCCTCTTTCCGGTATAATAGTGCTTGCAGATTATTGTAGTCTTCCCGAGGTCCTTTCAGGCGCTCGTTCAACTCATGCATCTTTCTGAGATTGTCTGCGATTTTCCGTGGCACGTCCTGGTGGCTGCGATAGTTTCGCACCACCGTATTTTCTCCGTAGAGCTCGACATTGTCTCGAATCTGTCTAAGTGGAGGAGTCTGTTTTGGAGCGGTTGCAGGACGTTCTCGTTTGGGGGCAGGTGCGGTAGCATAGGCCCTTCTGCAACGTAGCAGGAACGCTGTTGGGTCGAGCCTCCCTTTCGACATCTGAGGCTGGTTTCAAGGTCTCGCAGGTCCGTTAACGAAGAGCGCAGAACAACCAGCGAACCATTGGAAACGCGACCAGAAAAGTGTTCTCCGCACGAGGATCCACCATGTGCGGAGGATCATGGGTCGTTTGATGTGATAAATTTTGACAGCCCAAATCTTACCTGATATGGTCCACGAATCGCACACAGATAAATGCGATTCCCAAACACCGTCAAAGGTGGCGTGGCCTAATGGTAAGGCGTTGCTTTCCGGATACGGACTCTGGCAAAGACTGTGGGTTCGAGTCCCATCGCCATCGAACTTCTGAGGGTTTTCGCCTTCTTTTTGAGCTACGCTGAGAATGTATTTTTTTTGAGGTGTGTGGACTTATGTATCCCGTCTGAGGCGAGTTGAGAATGTTTCACCACAAAAAGGGTGTTGGACTGTCACTGGTGGATGTCAACGTAGAAATTGTGCCCCAGTACTGGAACAAAGTATGCTCTCGGCTCTGTCATACGAGAGAAGTAAGAGTCACAGCTTTATAAAAGTAATAGACGAGCGGATTCTTTTTTGTATTGCCCCAGGGAGCCAACGGCTTTGCAGTACTTTTGACATATCTTACAGCGCACACTACGCCTGGTATCGTATTAGGACGTCCCGGTCGTGAATGCCCTTTTGCTACGATCTCCGCCCTCCAACCAGCTCAAACGCCCATAGAACTCGCCTTTTGGAGCTTGAATTGACCACAAGTAACTAGCGGCGACCATACCCTTGGTTGCTGTTACCACCTCTCTGCCCATAGCCATAGCCTTGACCTTGACCTTGACCTTGACCCTGGTAATAGCTATCACTGACACTACGACCACCATTCTGCTGATACTGTCGATTGTTGCCCTGATGCTGACTCTGACCTTGATCTCCGCATTGGTACTGGTCCTGGCCACCCCGACCCTGATTCTGGTAATTTTCGTATCCTCCCCGTCCATTAATGTATCCGCCATAGCCAGATCCATTGGCAGGCGCTTGATGCTGGCGGTCATAACCATTCTGGCCTCCATATCCTGCCGGCGGAGGTGGTGGCGGTCCTCGACCTGATGGCGGTGGCACGAAGCGGGGATCCAGCAAGGCAGCAAAAGGGTTGTTACTGTTACTGGGAGGTCCGGCGTTATGAGGCGGACGATCGGCAGCATAGTTGATACGTCCTCCACGGTTCTGCTGATCTTGAGGATCGCGTCTTGTATTGTCGTAGAGTGGAGCGCCGCCAAAGTCTCGACCTGAGTTTCTGGCTTTGGATCGTAGAATTGCCAAATCGCCCTTGTCAAGCACAGCTGGGGGAAGTACAACACCTGGGAATAACATCGACTTGTGCACATGCGTGGGTGGTGGCATCGTAAAATCGACTCTCAAGGATCGGTCAATGTCAACAACAGGCTCCAGCTTGATCTCTTCCTCTGGTCCGACCAAATCCATGTTAGGCAAAAAGTCTTTGTCTTTCGTGACGGTTCCTGCCAGACGACCCTTGCGCATTGATAGCTTCGTGTTATCCTTGCCATCCTTTGCTTTCTTCGAATAGAATTGCACCGCGAGGTCGTCATATAACGGATGTTTGTCCGATACTATCAGTGCATCCTTTCCGAGCTCGTTTCGAGCATTCTCATCTGCTGTAAGAAGGGGATATTTGGTTGCCATTGCTGCCAGAAGTCTCTTCTCATCAATAAATGGAAGCAGAACAATCGCCTTCCAAGTCTGCTTTTTACCATTCGCGTCAAGTTCAAACTCCTCCGGATAAAAGTCCACGATATCAGAGTCTTCGTCTGTCATCAAGGGATGGAACGCTGGCGGAATCGCGTGGTTTGATGAAGCTGGCAGTACTCCCATGAGTTGCTCATAGGGCTTGAAAGGCGTTCCTTTCTCGAACTTGACAGTCATTTTCTCAATGTCGGCAAAGTCTGCCGCAAATGGAGCATAATGATACGGGTAGTACCAAGTCCACGATGGACAACCCTGAAAGTAGTAAAGGAGAACCCAACATAAACCCTCCACATAAGCCCTGGCAACCTTGTGACGAAACTCCATATCGTCTGGCGCGACATGAAATTTCTGCTCATAGTAACGTTCGGCGTAGCCTGTTTCCCACAACCGCACAGTATCCGGTGGAGGATCATTGGGATCCGCGTTGTTGACCGATTTCTCTACGGGCGTGTTTGTCCCGGGTGTGCCATTGTCCTCAGCCTCATCTTGCATCATATCGGCTTTACGTTTGCCCAGCGCAGATAAAGGTGTTGTGTTACCCACACCTGCGCTTTGCGTAGTGCCATTGGCGCCATCCTTCGCTGCGGTTTCAGCTGCCGCCTTCTTTGCAAGCATTGCCTCCTTAAGGGCAGCTGCTGCACTTTTGTTGGTAGTAGATGCTCTATCCACGGTACTTCTGTTGACAATGGCATTGTAGTCCAGTTGTGGATAGCTTGTTGCTTCGAACGTCTCGACCGGTCCAGTTGGAGCACGTCCATCACCTCGACCACCCACCGAATAATCAGGGGAGCTGCGACCTCTTTTGGGAGCGCGTTGAGCATCTCGAGCATCTCGAGCCTGGTTTTGTTCATCTCGGCGGCGCTGATTTGCCTCTCTCCTATCCTCGTTCTGCTTTCTGCGCTTGAAAATGGCATCCTCTTGTTTGGCAAGTCCCTGCAGAATGATCTGGGCACGAGCAAGATCAACGTTTCCATCGCAAGTCAGATAGCCTCCCATGATGGGAATGTTGTCTCTCCAAATGGCAATGAGTTTATCAATACCATCCTCATGAATGTCCAGACTGGGAAGATGGGGCAGAAAGTCATTGCCGACGAAGAAACACATGAAAACCCAATCATCCAGGGCGCGTTCAAGATCGAAACGGAAAGCCTGACCAGGTACAAACATCTCGGCGGCCAGATACTCACGTAGAATAGGAACATTCAGCCAGATAAAGGGCTTCAGTGATTCAGTGGTCCCCTTTTCGTCGTACTCGCCGGACTTGGCCTTAGTACTGCCCCTGCAATTCTCTGCATAATGCCCTTGTTGGCCACAGAGTTTGCAGGTTTTTGCTTTGGCGTCTCTGACATTGACATCCTCTCGAAGGACACGGAAATGTGGTTCATGAGTAGCAAGAGCAAGCATAATCAAGTCCGCGTCAAGACCGTACATGACGTGCCTTGTGTTGGGATCATACTCAGGGTCGGAACGCTGAGAACGTATAAACTGCATGATCTTATGCTCACCTTCACCTGGTACGCTCGCGTCTGAGATTATGACCTTCAAGTTCGCCCAGGCCTGATCAGTGTTGAGTTTCCACTGAACCCAATATCGAATGGATTTGGCAAGAATGAACATGAAAGGCGTGCCAGGTGTAATGACATTACTATCCCATGTTTTCTTGATTATGTCTTCTTCTGTCGAATCTTCGTCATCATCCTCGCCTCTGCTCTGCTTTTGTTGACGAAGGAGTGTTTGGAATTCTGCTTTCTTTTCATCCGCCTCTTTCGCATCTCGAGCTGATCGAAAACGACGCGCACGTTGCTGGTTCATCTTTGCTCGTGGAGCAACTCCGTCTGCCTTTTGTTAGAGAGATCGTTCACCCTTCGTAAGGAGGTATAGTCTCTGCACTCACCAATAGCGATCACGAGTAATCTGCGCGGGCGTACCATATTGACCACGCGATCAGTATACTTGAAAATCGCCATCATCATCTCGCTCTCATTTGCCGGAGGAGGTCCGTCCTCGGGATGAGAGCAAGGATGTACGATACCATTGAAGTCGAGATAAAGATTGTGCATCTCCTCGCCATTCGGATTAGGCTTCGTAGTGTCAACGGGATATTGCACGCCATCGATCTCATAGGGCTGCTCCTCAATCACAGGCGTGATGATTTTGGGATACTTCTTGGTAAGCCATCGGAAAAGGGCTGGGACACCCATCGTGCCGATCTCAAAGAGTCTGGATGGGCAGCTGGAAAGGTAAGATCTCGAATTCGAAGGAGGAAATGCACCGACACAGTCCTACTGCGATGTGTAAATAGTTCGGGCCGGAAACCCCTTTGAGAGCAGGAATACTGAGGCGCACAATGGCTCGGTCCTCACGTGCGAATCAGATACACTTCAAGAATGCATGACGACTCCTGAGGCAAGTGATAAATAGTGTCCCCTCGAAAGTGATGGATGGAGAATCTGGAGAGACAGGCAATGAGGGAATCGAGTTCTTCGAAGCGCAGGCTTGGCGAATCGGTCCTAGTAACAAATGGCCAGGTCTAAGCGCAGCCTTGCCTTCATCATCCTTCATATCGAATTCTACATACATACCAGATAAACAAAGAGCAACTTTTCGTGCTCAGCAGACCGGGAAGTCCTCAAAACTTCATGAGGCCAGAATTATGTTGCCTCATGTTTGCTGGCTCCCCTGCAGCAGGCCCGTAGCATCCCATAGCAGAAGGCGCTTCAGCCTTGTCACATGCCAGTAGCTCCGGAATTAATCTAGGCGTGTCCTCACTGTGCTGTGGTTCTCATCCAAACACTGTCACCTGCCCACGCAACGCCGTGCTCACTCTACTCGGGGTCGTCTGCTCCCAGACGCAGCTTCCACCTCTGCAAACCGGGGACTCGCTGTCTCGTCCTCCGTAGTGTCCACCGCTAAGACTCGAGTACCTGTGCCTCAAAATGCTCTATTTACAAACTGGCTTGATCGGCAGTATCCTCCAATGAATACGACAATGTCCACCTCTCCAAGATGATGCGAATATTGGAAGCCCAGGCCCCTGCGCGGCAGAATGCCACCGATACCATCCAGACCTTAAGCAGCCGCCTGTCGAGTGCAACGTTGCTGGAAGACAGACGTGCTGCGATTCTTGGTCTGCGCAGTTTCGCTAAGCTATACCCGGCTTCTGTCGCGTCTGGGGCCCTCAGAGATCTTATTGCCGGATTGAGAAGAGATGGAGAAGACTCAGAAACAATCAAATCGGTGCTAGAGACATTGTTGATGCTCTTCGAGCCAGACGAGAAGTCTACCGAAGCCTCAGAAGAAATCACTTTATGGCTTGCCGATGAATTCACCCAACGTCAAGACAACATCACAGCCCTCTTAGACCTACTTGAATCTGGCGAGTTCTATCTGCGCCTTTATGTCCTACAGATATTGTCACATATATCGACCGCTCGGCCGCAAAGAACTCAGGAGGCTATATTTGCAGCCCCCTTGGGTGTTTCACGGATTACCAATGTGCTGGACGACAGACGAGAAGCAGTACGAAATGAGGCATTGGTGCTCCTGGTCGCTCTGACTCCTACTTCG